AACATATTATTAATATCATCATAACCCTGGTGTCCCCTTGGTAATTCGTTATATGCTTCATTGTAATCGATAGGATTAAAATTGTCGACAAAAGGCTTGAATGTGGGTCTCAGAAATTTTACATGCATATCCGCATGATTTAAAGTATAATTGACGTAGTTATAGAACCGACCGTCAATTTGAAACGTAAATATACGACCAGGCGTATAATTTTCAAAAAAATGAATACCCACATAAGCGTTAGAATCAGGGAATATTTGTGCAATGATCGTTTCATTGCTATTATTAATAAAGTGCACTAAAGGTCGGGTAGCATATTTACCCTGTAAAAGAGGTTCCTAAGAACGGTAACGTTAATACGTTGGCATTCAATTTCGGTCAATATATCACCCACGGTGATAGCTGCTCTGTTCCCACCTAGTAACTGACTTAGGATCTTACCGGGGTATTGTTTAGACAGGAGTTTAATATTAGTGGTTAGAATGCTTTCAATTTGGCATTCCAAATAATTAATATCTGCTGTCAATTTGTTTATTACCTCGGAAACCCTATCAGTGCTTTCTTGAATAAACCCAATTAGAGGAGAAGATTCTGAAAAATTCTTTACAGTATAATCGTAATTAAAGGCGGGATATTTAAGAGTAAAAAGGGATGAACCATCAAGTGCAATGCATTGTTGCGTTTCGAATAACAAACCATTATTGGTACAAAAAGTATCAGACTTAAAACATCTTTTAACTGACTTGCCACATGAACCCCAGTTATGGATTGATTGCCCAAGTTTTGGAAAATCTAAGCGGTAAATCTGATTAGAAGAATTATAATGTAAAATAAGTTCAGTAACAGTTGTTTGGTATTGAGGGCAATCAATTAAAGGGTGGTGTTTCCAAATTAAAGTTTGACTTCCTAACGTGCATGACCCAGTTAATATGTTGCAGGTGGAAATTGAAGGGAAAGCACCTAACATTACCCCATGAAAAGGATCATACGAAATTTGAATACGAGACAAATGAGCATTGATCACTTGTCCGTGTCTAGAGGATGGCCAACTATAAGTAACTTTTGCCTTGTTTTGAGTGGACCAAGTATCTGTGGAAGTGGGTTCTAAATCTCCAATATTATCAGCTTTTAACGTGTGTACCCAATCTTCACAATATAAAGGGGTGGGTGGTTCTATCATGGTAGAAGTCAGTTTACTCGAATGTGCACCAAAGAAAAAATAATGACTAGACCATTTAGTAGCAGATTTCTGACATACATATAAAGTAATATTTGTATAGCTAGAAGATAATTCATGTACCGTAACAGAGCATTGCTTAATGGTTTGGGGTGTCTCCTTAGTACAATTATTGGGCTTCTGAATAAAGTATTCAGCTTTGGGTCTATTGGGGTGGCATAGGTTTACTGTAACTGTTGGAGTTGGTAAAGCAGATTTAAATGGCAGACTAGACGAATAAACAAAAAGATACATACAGATTGCGAGGCACTTAATAGTAAACATAATCGTCTCTCTGTGGCGGTCTAGTTGTCCTTCCGTGTCGAGTCCTTGATTGTATTGATCCTGAACCTTGTTGATTGCTATTAGTTTGCTCGTTCTGCGTAATAAGTAAAGAGTCGTCAATATCGGTTGATATTGGTACGTTATATCTGTGTATTAGTACGTCAGATTCAGTAGTTGGGGTATTTGAATTAGAAATGTCCTGAGTATCGGGAGTGAAAATTTCTTCATGAGCCGGCTTAACTCTATCAATAGAAACAGTGGTAGGTTTGCCTTTAAAATCAATCTTAAAAAACTTGTCGTATTTTTGTATAACACGAAAAGGTCCTTGATAAGGTGGTACCAGTGGTCTTCTAACTGCGTCAACACGTAGAAAGATGTGACTGCAAGTATTCAATTCTGGTGATAAGAATGTCTTTCTATTTAGAGGTGTTCTCGGTTGGATTGGTTTCAACTTATTGATGAAACTGCTCAAGCGTTTCATAAACGCCTGAGGGTTAGTGTTGATACCCGGTTGGTTGGTCGAGAAAAATTCTCCAGGCAATTTCAATGGTGTTCCATAAAGTAGTTCAACTGAATTTCAATTGAGATCATTGTCTTTTCATAATGTTCTTCATTATTTCGACTTGTCAGCAATTTGCTACTTCAATCGTTGTTCCAGGCAATTTGAATCTCCCCGACGTTCGTAAGTTGGTCGAATTTGATTTTCGCACGTTTTGTAGAGACGGTTTCTCGGCAATTGTTGAAAGCTTCAGCTTGGTCTGTTTTTTTGTTTGATTCCGTCAAATTGTTGCTTGTCCTGGTTGTTGTCCGTTGATCTGGTCCGTTTCAGAAGATTAATTCTTTGGTTTGGACGGTTAAAACATATTTTCAATTTAATGTATTTCGCTAAGTTAAAATACTTATACTCGCTTTATCGCATTGTTACGATTTTGTAGACCTAGTTGGTCAATATATGCTTGTCCCATGTCGGGAAGAATAAGCGCGTTGCGACCTAGTTGGTCTATATATATATTTGTCCCATGTCGGGATGAAAAAACGCATTTTTAAGTTTATGCCATCTCAGGGCTTTTTTGAAAAAATAACGCGTTTGGATACAATTTTTGTTAAACGAGCTTATTATTTCACCGTTCTATATGACGGCTTTGTAAATAATTAAAAGTATGACTCGCTCGAATCTACTTTTAGAGAGCATTTTAATTCCAACGAAATCTATTTAATCGAAAAGGAATTCTAACCACAAATATTCAATAATATAAATCTCTTGAAAGGTTTTGAAATCGGAATATTCAAAGTTTTACCATTAATTAATTTATAAAAATTGAAAACCGAATGAAACGCCATGTATATATATAAGAAGAAAAAGAAGTACTTTACCTTAGTAATAGTGGAAGAATGAAAAATGTCTGTCTCAATGAGAAGAAAAACCTGCAAATCACGAAACAAATTGTAGAATTACATGCTCCTGATCTGTATATCCAATAGGTAAGCGCGACAATTTCTCTATTGTTCGGAATAGAGCGCGTAATTTACAGTAAAACAGTCCATATAGTTAATTGTTTTCAACAGTTCGTTTTTTGATTAGGTTTTTCACCTCGAACATATATCATTTTCTAAAAAAGTTCATTTCGATCGATGTTCAATACAGTCCATAATCATGATTTTAACGTTTCCAGAGTCCGTTACCATAATTCAACTGTTTTCAATTGAGATTATTGTCTTTTCATAATGTTTCTGATTATATCGGCTTGTCAACAATTTGCTACTTCAATCGTTGTTCCAGGCAATTTGAATCTCCCCGACGTTCGTAAGTTGGCACGTTTTGTAGAGACGGTTTTCGGCAATTGTTGAAAACTTTCGCTTGGTCAGCTTTTTCGTTGATTCCGTCAAATTGTTGCTTGTCCTGGTTGTTGTCCGTTGATCTGGTCCGTTTCAGAAGGTTAATTCAAGTCGGTTTTGTCACCATTTATGGCATATATGTTGAGAAAACTCTGTTTGATTTTATTCTCAGATTTCCACGATACACAGAATACAAATCTTATAACATTTATCCACACTCGCTTTGAATGGTTTACATCGTCTTCCCTCTCCCTATCGAAAGATATCGGAGTCGTATTTATACGTCCATCGTACATCTAATTAAATACTGTAAACGTGAGCTCGTGATTCACGTTATAAACAGAAACTCCTATTATCTCAATAAGGGTAATTATGTACATCGTACGGATGGGAACTTAGAGATAATTATTTCAATCAGTGCCAAAGGTCTTGAGAATATAGATTTTAATTTGATAATGACTGGATGGAACATGTTATGTTTCTTAAAACTGGTGTAATTTGATTCCTACGAAAGTCGTTGTTCGAATTTTGGGAAAAATTAACTTTGTCATGATGATTTCAACATGAAATGGGGTACATTTGGGGGTTAGTTGCTATACTAATTGGCTACACCCCTTGAAATCTTCTCGTGAACCCCCGGGGGTTCGCGAACCCTTGGGTTAGAGTTTCCTACTTACTTACTGCACAAATTACAAAAGAGAAGAGCAGAAAACGAACTATTGCGTGATTGGGATGCCATTTCCGAAATTTGTTTTGTGTCTTAAGAACTTTGTAACTGCATTTCCGTTTTCATCTACATATGCTTGTGAATCTCTGTTCTCACTTATGAATTTTATTAAGTCCTGTAACAGGAGCAGCCTAAAACATGAAACCAGTAGTTCGTGTATTTATTAGAAAGTTACAAAATATAAACCCAATTTAAAATCTCTATCAGCGATTACATGCAGCAGCAGAAGTCTCACTAATATTTTCCCGAATAGAGAATCTGTCTGTACATGTTTAAAAGGTTTATATTGTGTATTTTTGCTTTGAAGGTGGCAAAGCATTGTTTTTTTGAATTTTGGTCGGCACGCGAAAGAATTTTGTTGTTACATTTAGCCGATTTTGGCACGCGAGCCGAAAAGGTTGCCCACCCCTGGCATATAACATAACTCAGTCTACTCTAAGTACACTGTACGAATATCGAAGGAACGACAGATTGATTAGTGGTGATCAAAACTAATTTACCTGCAATTAGCGAGGATCGCTGACCCATGACAGGAGCATGCGCAACGAAAATAGATCGAATATTACCAATACACCTTTCAAGGTGCGCAACGTTACGCAAACCACACGGGCAAGTCGTAGGAGGGTGAAAATCGATGAAAAAAATCGATAAGCCATTGCGATCTGAAACGCAAAAAGATGCTCGTCATCGTGCTTCCGAGATAATCGCGCATGATGCGTCTGCACCTTTAAACGGTGAATTTAAGAACCATATAATTGCTCAACCTGTCCATTAGTACAACTCAAACTTCGCAATTAAATTTTCTAAACTGCTAATCCCGTTAAACGAAGCACACCAGACCTCTTAAACATGTGTTGAATCAGGATCTCCCGCCTAAAAGAGGCAAACTCATATCTTGAAATTGGGTCTACACCGATAGACAAAAAAAGAAGAAAATTATCATAGCTTTGAATGATTTAGATTTATTCAAGTTACAACACGTAAGGCACTGTGACGATGCGACAGTAGGTACAAAAGTATAAATGAACAAGGATGAAAAATTCTCTAGAATTAAATACAATCACTAATGCGCACCTTCTATCTGTACCAAACGACAAACACATAAACTGCATGATATTGTTATTAAAAGTATTAACCACATTTGACACCCTAACTTGCGCGGCGCAGAGGATGTTGTAGACGAGTCCATTTCGGTCGCAGTATACAAAGCGCTTTTATTATAGACGAAACTTGAATCAGATGCATTGATCATGGTTGTGTCTTGTGAAAAAGTTAGTTGGGTTCGTGAGACACTCTGGTTGCTAAGTTCGTTATTCGCCCTTGGTGTGAATTCACTCATGTTATAACAACCAGTGTAGTTTATGTAGTGTTCTTCTTGAAATCCTTGAAATGAAGAGAATGCACTTATTACATACATATACAACAAATTTGGCCAAAATGTATTTAATATTTAACAAAATATGGACAATGGAAGAAGAATACACTTTAGAATGGAGTTGAGAAGGTCATCCATAAAATTTAGAATAAGGTTTATAAAGCCAATTGTGCTAAAATTAACAACTTGGTATATTGGTTAAACTATGGCAAAATGTTTCATACCCCGAAGACATATCATGGTGGACAAAGGCATAAAGCAGCCAAAGAAACTAGGAAACAAGTAGGTTATAACTCAGACTTGGTTATTGTGCCATAACGTTGTATGATATCATGAGGTAGATTGTCATGCACAATATTATAGTTGTTAAATACCTGCTTGCTACATCACATAACTTTATCACTTTATCTGCTGTGATTAGTTATATTTAATAAATGAAATGTACAATAAAAAACTTAACAATGTAAAATAAATAGTCTTAAATTGATATTCAACTAGGTTAATAATATCAAACTAGGCTTATAAGGGGCTGCTATTTGACACAACCAATGACTTTGAAAATGGCTGTCCCACAATAATTATATAGACAAAGGCCATATTGATTTTTGTAATCTTGTTATCCTCATCTAGTGGCAACTACAGACTAACTAATCAATCTATCAGGTTATTTATAATCCATAAGCTAATTAATTCATATCTGAATACAGAGGAACCTTCTTTATCATTACATGACCGGTCTTCCCTTAATACCATTGTACTAATATTGAAAGAGCAAAACTAATTTAAATTTTAACCAACATGTGATACAAAATCTAAACATTTTCATAAAAGAAATCGTGTCTTTTTACATAACATATTAGGATATCTTTTTCAGGGATGTATTATACTCTGTAAATATCCAAGTCAAAAATGTAAATATCACAAAAGTTGGGAATATCACTCGACAATTAAATATATAATTGAAGATGATGAAATAAACTACATAAGTTTATGAGAGTAAAGTCATTCCTTATTCAATGAATCTGAATAGTAAACCTGGAAATTAGTAGCAGACAGATGAAAATATTGTTAAATTAATCTAGCAATGTTCAAAACAATGATCCTTAATGCATGATGATGCTGATTGTTCAGATTCAATAGATATATTGATTTATGTAAATTTCTTATTTATGGTCTCTGTAGTCTAATTTAGATTAGCAGTATATCAGATACGACTGAAACCGAATACCTGGCTACTCCAATACATTTTAAAACAATATCCTTGAATATGGAATATTGAATCATAAAATTTACTGTAAGGGGGAATATATACCTAATTTTTAATTTATTAAGAAGTATCAATCAACTATGGTTGAGATGACAAGTCTGGATGACAAAATATCCTTACTTACCTTCACATAGAAAAGTTGGTTGACCACCATAAAGTTTGGTTTTGTTGTGAACACGAAAAAATGGACATGAAGTTGCAACCGTTGTGCAAACTGATTTACAAACGTTTATTTTTACTCTTGATCCCTGTCCGTTGTCTCCAAAAATATCATGATGATGCGAGCATATCCAATTTTTGTAAGATCTCTGAAAAACAATGAAAATAATATTTCAAGATTCATGCCACCCCTCACTCAAGCAGAAAACTTTCTATATACATTTTTAATATATTTAAATCGACACACCTACTGTTCTAAAAATAGCAATAAAATTTGCTCAACAGAATTATTAATCACTTATGATTGAGTGCTATGATAACATTTTTTTTAAACCAAAATTAAAATAGAGAATAACTGAAGCTTTCAATTTCGATAACATAAAATCCAAGATTTTAAATCAAATTGAAAAATATCACTCTTTCAAATAGCACATTTTTCCTTCCATACAATAGACCTTGGTGATTTAAAATATATACCATGCGGAAACACCACACCCAGTATTTTTTAATAAATGTTTATTCAAGAACTCGACCACGTTTCTAATAAACAATAATCTGAAAACTATAATAATTTATGGTCTGGTGACCACATTCCCCATACGACCTAATGTAAGAATTGTTTTGTTTATGCCACTATTGTTTTTCCCACATGGGATGGGTTTTTTAAATGACTAAATAAATTGATTGACTACAGTCCATTTTCATACTCCCACTGTTATTATTGAACCTTAGTAGCCTACTAAGAATGGCCAATCTAACAAACTACCAGTTTTGTTTGGTGCCCAATAGCATTTATGAACTAAATCAACAACATGTCAACATATGAGCCATCTTAGTCTCCATCGTTTATCTGCATATGATATGGATCATATTAACTTCCAACTCTTGATAGCATATACCACTATTTTCTCAGATAAATTGACTCAAGTAGGGTTATGTAAACAGTTTGCTTTATATTTCAATTTCAACATTTTTCTGAGTAGTCACTCTATGATGGTTAACATTAACCATCATATTAACATTTGATAATCTTGATTGGATACTATAATTTATCATACAGCAGTTATTTTCTTAGTTATAGATAACAAATTTATTGCGAATTGGCTCAAGTCTAAATATTTATGATGAAAATGATTGTATCTCATAAAAAAGTAGCTCTAGTAGAAACAAAGCCCTACTTATGTTATCTATATTTTGAAATCCATATGGACACCAATATTAAATTATTTATACAGAGCTGAGTGTATATAACTAGGAGATGTGAATGCTATGACGAATGCAGAATATCCCCGAATTCTATAGCCTATAGCTACTATAGGATTCAAATACATGTGGAAAATATTCGAACACTTTTATTTGAACATTCATCTTGTTTACCTAAACTAAAATCTTTTTTCGAAATTCCCGTAACTCAAACCTACTCGAAGCCACAACATTTACTCTCCCATTCACATCTACTCTAACATCAGTGGCCATTAAAACTCTCTGAAAACCATTTATCATGCAATAATATACCGGTAGTTCTTTCTAAGAAGAAGCCTAATTAAATACGAAGGAAGCAATAATTCAGTCTCTGACGGAAAGAACTGTTAAAATGAAAAGAAAAAGTTCGATTTGACCCAATTTTTTTTACCCACGACTTATACTTCGAGAACCGATGCGAGAAGTGATTACTGTAAAGTATTTAGCTTATGCCTCCCCTTTCATTTAATCTGCTTTTAACAAAAAGAAAATGCTGTAACCACTTTGATTCGCATTTAAGGGAGCCAGAACTCCGACAACAAAAGCCGCATGCTGCTCCAGAGCCGCAGGTTGCCGATCGATGATTTAGGGAGATTTATTATAACCAAGGCTGGGGAGTTGGTTCGAAATCACAGTGGCTCCAGCTCCAGCACCACAGTAAATCGGAACCGGGGCTCTGGCTCCAGAGCTTCATTTTTTCACCTCAGAGATGGGCTTCAGGGCGGCTCTATACCCATCAAGGTTTTTGAGTGTGTCATGAAATATCTGGCTAAATGCAGTTTCATGGAACTGGACTCAAAACTATGATATTAGGGTTTCAAAATACAAAATTAAAGTTTTAAATATAGCTATAAATTCAACTTGATATTTAAATTAATATTATGAATTGAAATTTATAAAAATTTATGTGCTGAAAAGTATCGATTTTAATATTTGTATGACATTATAAATGTTGAAAAATAATTAGATGGTTCGGAGCTGGAGCCACTGGATTTTCCGGTAGCCTTCGGCTTCGGCTTCATCTAACATGGTAAGCTTGGCTCCAGCTCCACCAAAATGCCACAGATCCATGGCCCAGGCTCAGATTTTGGCTCCGGGTCGCCAGCCCTGATTATAACATATCAAATACGGTTCAAAGTTAGTATTTGTAGAAACCAAAATCATTCATCCCACAATGTGGGTGAATATAATTCAAGTAACGTCTTATTCACCAGCTGGCTTCTTCATATTCAAATGCCACTAGGACTAGGCTATCCACCAAATGTTTGATATGTGCGATATTTTGATAAATAAAGTTAGAATGAACTTGATAACCCACAGCCGTCATTTCACTGTAACTTTGAAAGTAATGATGCTATAATCTACTGAAGAGTGGCTAGATGAGTTTGTCTAGAAAGATATTCATGCTAAATTATAACATATCAAACTTGTACTGACAACCTGTACAAAACTAATTATGCATATCGTTACTTATATCAACATTGAAATGCTTTTGTATCTGGTGGTGTGTTAAATGGCACGTTTTGATTGGATAAGAGGATATGCAAATATCCAATTACTTACTCCAGCCAACAACGAGTACACATGGGTACGCTGGGTTCTATCGATATTGAAGAAGCTGTCAAATATCAGATTTAACTGAAACAAAACTTGAAAAAACTGAATAAATCTCGCCCAAGATAAATTAAATTAAGATAAAAAAATACTGCTAGCGGCGCTAGCTACATTTTATTCATTAGAGTACCATAATTTATCCAGTTCATGACATCTATCCATTAAACATGACACTGTACAATACAAGTATTGTTCGTAAATTCACTCAATCACATAAATTTGTACTCAACTAAAACTAGGATGAGATTAAGCAAACATTTGGCTCTTAAAAGCAGTACAGTCAGGAAAAATTGTATCTGATATAGATAGGATAACTACCAAATAGGAGGAAGCTACACATACCACTTATTTGATTGTTTGTTGTTGAGTGGGGGTCATTGTTTCCTAACAGAAATGAAAAAAAAAATTTGTATCAACACACATATTCAAAGATGACCAATCAAAAGTGAGGAGACATTTTTCATGTTTATGTTGGGTATAGTCATAATAGTAAGGATATCTTTGGTACCAAAACATAACATATCTTTACAGGCAATGTTCATAAATTAGTTCAGGGTGCAGTATTATTTAAAAAAGAATCTGTTTTAATTACATTTCCATGCACTTTCTTCATATCCAATAATTTCCATGTAATGTGTAACAATTTATATTTAAATTTAGAATGAAAAGCATTTCAAAACACCTGACAGAGATAAACATAAATAAAATCTCAAAGTAGCTAGTTTACAAAGTAATCAATCCAAATAAAACTCATAATTAGGATATTTGAAACCAGTTTTTGAGGATTTACATGATCTAAATTACCACTTAATTAATGGGCCTACAGACTACAGCACTCGCAATACAAACAGCTTTCACAATAAAAACTTCTCCCATTCTCCCAGGGGAATGTAAATTGATCATTCAGAAAGTGTACCTTGACTATGGCACAGTGTGTGTGAGTGATTTAATGCAAAACTGACTGAAGTACTGCTTCGATTTAATTTATACTTAAGAATTCAATAGAATAAGAGTAAGAAAAATCAATAATTTATGGCTATTGTAAGGCTCAATGTCTTCTAATAAACAAATTCTGGTCATTTATCACAAACTAAATGAAAAAGGTATATTTGAGTAAGCAAAAATAATAATGTCATTATTATCGTTCTGCAAACTTTCCACTTAGTAATCTTTGAACAATTAACTGGTTCAGGTTGCTTGATAATATTAATGTTATTGGAAAAATTACAGAAAGTGAAATAATCTGTACAAAAAGGATAGGTTAGATAATTTGCCCAAGTGACTACAGTGACTATATGAACTCTCGCAAGTTTGGTAAATGTTGAACATGCAAACGGAGACTTGGAGGGCGTTTGTTGCTATAAAAATTTGACTTCACAAATGAATGAATGATCCAGCAATGCAAAGGACATAAACCGAAAATAAGCACTAAGCAGTATAGCAAACAATCAATTACAATAAATAAAAACTTTTCAGGAAATAATATATTTGATTGAGCTAAGCAGTATTGATAATTAATAAACAACATTCAGAAACAGCACATTTAGAATTATATTTTCCATAGTCACTCATCTCATATCCAAATTTTTTTTGCTATAAAACAGGTTTTTCCAATGTTTACATAACAAAGCATCATAATATAGCCTACAACACCAATACAGGAAGCAATCGCTAATATTGAGGAAATGGTTAATGGGATGATTTTTACATAACAGTGGTTAAAACATATGAGTTTTTTACATAATATTTACAACTGGGCTTTATTTGGCTTTATTATTTATAACTATCTATTTACGCAATTATAGAACAAAAACTCAGAAAAGAAGGTATCGCAAAATTTTATTATTGAATATTCCTAAAAATTCACTGACAATGCACTAAAATTTCCATGCAAGGTAAATAGTTAACTCTTTTGGAAATCACAATTGTGGAAATCGCAATTGGAGTCCACCCGGCTTTCATAAGAATATACCCAGGTAAAAATGGAGAAAGTGTGGTTTTTATTTTTATATAGTGTGGTTCATATGCACTTCCTATTATAAAGGTTTGAATGACCTGACTATAGTTAATTAGTATATTTTTTTTTATTTCATTTGCCAAATGTCGTTTCATTTTACATCGATATGTAAAAAATGTTAAATTGATCTGTACATATTTCTATACCGTATGTGGACAGTTTTTATCTCAACAATACAGAATCTTATTTTACTGCTATATCAAAAATAGTCGTTTTTAAATTAAGTGAATACAGACAGCTACAGCGCAACTGCTCTGAATCAATATAGGGCTCAACCGAATGCATAATAAATGAATACGAAATGAAATATAACACATCCCCTTGAGGTTAACTGATGCTTTCAATAAAGAATGTGTCTTCAATAGTTAGTCAATACTTTGGTCAACTTTTAGTTCAAATCTTTCAGTAATTAAATTGTGATGCAAGAAAAGTACAATACTGAAATGCTGAATATACAGGCTAATCTACAACCCTCACCGTTCAAAGTGCCGTTATAACAACTTGATCATATTATAGTAACTTAAAAATAAGATATCATAAAGCCATTCAAATTGTGTGTGAAACTATTGTGTTTACAAAAACAGATAGTATGTATAAAGGAAGAATTTTATAAAGAGATTATATATTTTGGTGTAAATTAAGCAAACAAGTTTAAACCATCATGTTCCCCCAATAGCTGATGATGAAATATGGCCAATTATACAATAAAAATATAAATTCTCAAAATATCATATTTGGCAACACATGTGTTGACATAAGAGGTTGGAGAGAGACTGACAACAATTTTACTTAAGAGAATGTCACAATGGAACCTTCCCTTTACAAGATTTTTTGTTCATGGTTTCTTTATCCCCACTAATTATTTCATGGCACACGATTACTAATTTGTGATATCTCACAGTATCAATTCTCCTTTGAATAATTACAGTGTCAAAGCAGCCCCATAATGACTACGCATGGGATTATACAATGAGTCTAGCACGGTAATGATAATAACAATGTGACCTAGGGAGTCCATTTTCGATGTACCATGTTTCTATCATAGAAGTGCAAAATACATCAAAAAATATTTACATCAAGGTCTGCCAAATGATGCTGATCTGATAGTAATTCTAAACGTAACTATATACGATTTGCTTCTTCAGACCTTCACTTTAATTCAATTTTACCTATTTTCAGGAAGTATTCGTTATGCTCATATACTTCATAAAAACATCAATAATGTATGAAATTCAAGAAAATTAATATTCAGTAATTGTTGAATACGCTGAGAATAAAGAGTTGAAATCTTCACCCCAGTTTTTACATATCTCAATTTCAATCTCCCTCAATGGCACATTATTCTATCCATTCCTCTTACATCAGCATTTGAAAGTCAATGCGCTACATCCGGAATAAGTACCCTACCTTAATATTCAAACTCAAAAGGTATAGGGCACATGTAAAAATATTTAATTTGAATACTCACATTATCTTCATGATATCAGAAACTAATTTAGACATCACCAATGCAAGTATGACTTGCCGTGTGAAAAAGTGCCCTCACAAAAGTGAAATAAACATACGAAGCATCTTCACAAACAATCTCTCAAAAATTATTCTAGGCTACATACACAGATAAGTGTGCCGTTGAATAAATGTCATTGCACACAATGGTGTATACTTGATGACTAGGCAAAGTTTGTTTAGTAATAACTTAGTAATACTAAGTTGAACGAGATCTGTTTTTCGTAAGGGCTAGGGGGTATTCAAAATGAGGAGGAAACAAAAATGACCCACCTTGCATTGATCTATACTCCATTGTACAGAATAACTTTCCGAAGTTGCATACTTTGAAAGTGTCGATAGAAACCTAGAAACATCAGCAGATGCTTTTTCATCATTTTGTAAAACAACAGTCATGTGATTACAGCAGTTATTTCCTCGATCTGGATTGCAACCTCCTTCTTTACACTGCTGCAATTGTTCATAATCCAGATAACGAGATATAGGATACTGATCGCAGAAATGAGTTAGAGGATGTGAACCAGATGGTAATTCTTCAAAATATGACTTCGGTATATAAATATTGTGCTTGGAATTTGACGGTTCACCATTAGCAATATGGAACATTGGTGATGACGCAAATAATATTAAAAACATAAATGGGTATATCTTGCTTAATGAGAAAAAGATCGGACTACATCTTTCTTGCGTCAAATATTGAGTATTGGATGAAGAGTGCAACCACTTATAAGGTAATGTTTTCAGCAAGTTGGCATTACTTTTTCTCGAACAAGTACAATTATGTATTTGCTTGTAGGGATTGGGATTTATTGAGTCATTTTTCCACAATATTCCACCCATCACAGATAGCAAACTGTTGTCTTTTGAGAATTGATAATGACATTCTAAGGAGAGGTGGGCATTTTTATTCCTGGAACTTATTGATTGGGATTGGCCTTTGTAGAGAAAATGACCTACAAAAGGCACTGTGGGAGGGGAAAGGTAATGCACTACAGTATGTCGCAAAACTAATATTGATACAGACAATCCATCGGGATCCCAAGGGAAATAATTCCTGTCAGAGCCATGATGGAAAAGTAATAAAAACAGAGTTAGTAGATGGGTGCTGGTAGAACATGTGGTAATTGGTTTATATATATGACTAATATTATTGTGTCGTCGTGAATGTAAAATACAGCAAAGGTATATATTTTCTAATGAAATTATTCTTCTCCAAATCAACATTATTATGTCAATCTCAGGATTCCAGTCCACCATGACATACAAGAAAACCGAAGTGAATCCAGGGCAGATATACAGACGTAGTTCCATTTTTCTGCAACATGATCGAATCCAACATGTTTTGAGATAATCCAACAAGGCTCCATGAATGTTGCAGTCAGTTTGTAACATCTCAAGACATGTGCTCTGATGTATTACCATGAATTAAACACCACTGTATTCGACAGTAATTCCAAAATAATGAACTCATAAATAAAACAGTCCATACGCTTCGCACTGATAGCACAATGCCATTAAAAGTTTGAAACTATTCTCTCTGTGTACTGTTCAAAGAAAAAAAATCAAAAATTTCCCAAATTAGGGTAGACTAGACATAGAAAATATCTGACCAAAATATTATCAACTTCTGTACAATTTTATAATCTTTAACAATTGCATATACAAAAGGGCAGTGGTTCCCAACCTGCATGGCATGTGGCCCACTTCTGAAAGCTTTGAGCACCCATGGGCCTTGTTGCTAAGCGAGCATTGCGCTCATTCAAGGGCATATCCATTAACCTAGGTAAAGCCAAAGTCAATCGAACTGTCGTTACCGTACATTAATGTTTTATTGGTCTTTTTCGGTGTCCATAATACATTTACAAGGCTATCTAGGAATCCTGTCAAACTGTCATTATAAGTAGATAACTTTAAACCATTACTGCGGGACAGATGGATGCCTGCCAACCAACTATAGAGGTTAGAATTCGCACAGCACAAATGCATTTATAGTGTCTTGATTGTTAGATTCCTAATCCGATTATGATCAAACATGAAAGTGAAAACCCAGTGCGACTGGAAGCAACCTTTTGGGGCAATGAAACTACAAGAAACAGAAAATTTTCTTATAAAGGTATGCAAACGAAATTGCATTAAAATCCTCCCCCCCTCCTTCCAAATGCTCTGTGGCTCCCGGTTTGTATAAAACAAGATATTATGCATAGTGGTTTCTCTGCTTGGTCTTTCTTTCACAATAGAGGCCAAATTTATTACCGTCAAAGTTGGGCAATCTGTCCTGTGTATCGTTTATAATTCTCTATTGCCCCACTACAATTTCTGAATACTACAATATCTTACAGTAGGGCACACTATCCAAATTCCAAGAATGTCCCACCATTTGGTTCAATAAAACAAACACTACATGTATCTCAAAAACCAGAGGGTCACCACGATGGCAGATGCGTCATATCACGCCATGCTTGTCACGATAATAATCTAAATTAATCGTGGCCGTCATGTGACCAAAATTGCCAATTTTGCTAGAAACTCTCAAATGCCATGGTAGAAATTTTTTTCCTTCTGTAAATAGGACTATTTTTCCCGAGCAATTCAATGATGATGATTTTAGATTCATTTTACTGTATTTTTACCGATATTGAGGGACAACAATGTCCAGACAACCCCCAAGGGAGAGGTGTTTGTTCATCGGCAAAATGGGATTCTCTGAAACGAGACAATGTCTCTCGATCTGTAAAGTGTGCCGTCTTAATTAGACTGATATTGAATACCAATCATACAGCTATGAATAGATATTAATATGGTGGTAATGAATATCCTTGCTGTACACCACCTGACAACAGAAATTCCTGCAACAAATACTCATTTGTAAAAAATGCTGATCACACGATCATACCTATTTGCAATAAATTTTGATCTGATGTGTTATGGTGTATAGTTTCAAGAAAGACAATTATAAAACTTAGCTTGGGTGAAAACATTTATTCGGTGGACGTACCACACAAGACCATGTTTTGTTTTGATACAAGAAAATTCGATTTAGTTTGTAACAAAATGTGCCATCTCGACTTTAATATACAAGATGTTGTTTGGTGATTAAATTGAAAACTTTACAATTGGTCTAGTGTGTTTGATATAAATTTATCAGTTCTATAAAGATAAGAAATTGAAAGTTGTGAACATAGGTTATATAGATAGATAGCATAACGAGATGATGCTACGACACCGATTGAACGGTCTGGTCTCTTCACACACCGATATGATTTTGTCATGTGCATCAGAAACCCTTGCGGAGTGAGTAAAACTACTGTCCGAAATTAGAGCAGGTAAGCAGTGACAGACGTGGTGGGTTCCTTTGGAAACATAATGATCATTAATATAATATTTAGCCCGTTTACTCACAACAGCACACGGTTCCTGTTCATTGTTCAGTTGTTAGGAAGGTTACCGTACCTTGTCAGCTTGTAATAACACATTTCGACTAAATTTTTTAATCTAAGTGCTGCTTGATCATACAGTCATATGGCAAACCCCTGCCGGTCACCAGTCCACAAGTGCAGTTTCAAGTATTTGTGGCGTCTAGAGCTGCCGCAAAACCATGGTGGTATTTTAAACCATGGCCGCTATGACCAAACCTACGGCGACTGACTATTTAGCTGCCACAAACCAATAGCGAGCTGCCGTGGTTACTGCAGCAAATGGAATACCACCAATTTTGCTGCCGTGGCGGTATGTCGGCTGTAATAGCAGGGCTGCCCCTGATGGTGATAAATATTAGGTAAGTTGGAACGCTTTTCTTATGAATACAGTTTTACAGCAGGTACAGAGGTACCGTATAGAGGTATGAGATTAGTTGGCCAGTTATTTTTTTGGAATCATGGACTTATAGCAGTATAGTCATAGCCGACCCGCGGTTACGTGAACCACCCTACGGGATTCAGCAATCCTTTCGCACATAACTATCCCCGCATGGGATTTGAACCTGCGGACACATGCAGGTCAAGGTACGGCTGTACGGTAGACTACCGGTACCGTACTAACTGCATAACTGACAAACGCTGTACCGGTACAGCTGTAAGTACCGGTACATCTGTAACGCTTAGCACGATGCGCCTCGCCACATTGCATATTTGTTAGAAAAATACCTCTGGTTTTCTATTCCATAAAAAGAAAAATGGCTTTGGCTATAATTTTTTCCTAAGTTATCATAACTGGCACAACTTAAAACTATTTCGAATTCTCAGAGAAGCCTTCGGAAAGCAAACGGTACAAAATACGTTCCAAAATTCTGATTGATTTTGATTTTAAGTACACTTTGGCGCCGTATGTGGTGGTAGCAGTCGACTGGTGACAACCCTTGAACCTTGCATGGCCAACCAGCCAGAGACCAAGACCCGTAATTTCTATGGAGCAGTGGTTCCCAAACTTTTTTTTTGCGACCCCAATTTTCATAAAATCAAACTCTACAGATACTCGCGACCCCACAACTAAAAACGTTCAGCAACCTCAATCAGTTTAATTAAAATGTACCTGCATATCGACTGCAAGTGGACGTTGACGGTGAACATTGGCCCAGAAAATATATGAACAAGCCCGACAATGCGCCGGAAAAAAAACGGGAAAACTCAGAAGATTTAATAACACATGGCATCATTGATAGTGATACCTTAACAATGGATGAAAATGACCATTGTCTTACCATTATTATGCTGCAGATAGTAAACGCTTGACTGATCTTCTGTTCCGACGCATTTCTTGTAGGCGAATGCATGGGAATTTGGGAGACAACCATACTTTGTAAAAATCTAATGTTTTGAAGCACGATACGTGGGATATTTGGTAGTAATAGAACGTTTGTAACTTCAGCTCAATGATTTAGCTAATGAGGATCTTGATAAAAATAGGTGTTCGTAAAAATCGATTGATTCTTAGGGGATGGATCCCCCTATAATTTCCGTGTATGAAGGCTTGCGCAATGCTTATCTTAAGCATGATTAACCTAAATTTTGCATATTATCCCGGCACAAAATTTCATAAAAACGGGTCGATTATACTCACGTTACAATACACACTTTCAGTGGCACAGCCAAGATTTTCAAAGCGGTCTGAAGATCAGAATTCGGAAATTTACATAAATGGATCCTGAAACATTCGAATATCGAAGGCAGCCGTGTACGCACGGCAATAAATTACAGCCACCTGAAAAGATTTTAATTTGCGCTGACTTGAATTGCTTATAATACGTCCAGGACGTTTTTGATTGAAAATGTTTTACGAATGATATATAGAAATATTGATCGCCCCGAAATCCTCGCGAAACGGCTCCTGTAATTGTAGCGCTAAAAGAACGGACTTTTCACTGACTAATAATTTTTCAGTTGCGCCAGGTATTCACGACCAATACTAGACATTTAAAATGTCTTGCTTTGTTGAATTAATTGCGGTGCGCCGACTTACGTCAAAATAAGAGTATTCCTATAAAATATCAAGGCAATACCAAACAATGGAATACTGTCTGATTATACAGTATTTATCGCTAGCTGTGATTCCTATTTTCGCGATGTTGCGAATTCTACAAATCCGATATGTTCTCACAACACTGACTCCGCTCTACCACTCCTATTATTTTTCAACGCTAGAAGAATCTCTAAGTCTGGGATAAAATATCAAAAAACTACGATTTATTTTAGTACATTTGAAATTGACTGAATATGCATTGCATTAATTATCTCATATTTCATAATAACCACAGAGTAAAAATTGCATGTGGCCCCGACGATAGTTTCATAATGCCTAAAAACAGGGATGTGCAAACTGTGGCTCGATAAGAAAATTTGTACGGCTCATGGAGATGCGCAAATTTTTAATGGTATTCCCACGAAACGAGTTTTCAGATCATTTAATTTGGTGCGTGCGAGCAATTTTAATCTTTCTCTCTTTTACAAAGCCTATACTAATAATAACTGAGTGCCACTGTCATATTACTAAAACAAGCTAGCAAAATTCTGTTACGAAATGCACAATGTTATAAAAACGCGTGTCCCACTGAATTTGATTAAAATTAAAAGCATGTCAGCACACATACATGAAATTAAAAATTTTATATTTATTTTTTTATTGCAAAATCGTCTTCTCACTGAATCTCGCTAGCAACACGTTGTATAAACCCGCGGGAAACAAACGTGCCAGATAATTTTTTGCCGCGTCTCACAGGACTGCAATGTTTTAAACAAAACGTAAAAAAATTAAACAAATATCCCCACACGCGTTTTAAAAGTTTTCGATCTTTCGTATGTAGAAAATATTATGTTAGCCGAAGCAATATTACTAGAAGAATTTTCGTAAGTTGATCTTTTGTATCCAGAGCTTTTCATAGGTAGACTTGCCATAATTTCTTGGGCAAAATCCGGGACAAACTCAAAACTATGAATGAAATAACTGAACGAAAGGCCGAAGGCCTGAGCTTGGCAAATTTTTATTCCATATTTATAAGCTTTAATATTGCATAATAAAGTATTCTACTTAGATTGAATAAAAAAAATTATTACTTTTATTCAAAGGAAAATACATGTCAATTTAAGCAACACTAAGGGTGGAGATCAAAAACCTCACTCAACTTAAACCTGGATTAAAACTAATCTCGGGTTAGTTAAACTCGGTTTAACTTCGATAGTTAACCGGAGATCAAAAACCTAGTTTAGCGGTTACTTAACTAATCCTGGTTTAAGTCCGACGCCACGAGGCATTTCAACAAAACGTCGTGGCATGTTGCTCTTTGACCCCGTATTTCAATGGCGATGACAACGCGAACACAATTTTGTTGTAATTTGCTGTCTTTGCAAAGTCGGTTTTTGATGTATTTCGTTGATTTTGCCGAAGCAAAACAAGCTGGGCGGTAGAACTACGAAGAGCTGACGCGCATTACACGAAATATCGAAATAATAACAATTTATCATAAATAGAATTCTTCCAACTACTGGTACAGTCTACAACTACAACAGGGTCGGCCAACTTTTTTGGTCGAAGGGCCACATGTAATTCATTAATAATTGCGCGGGCCAATTGACATGGTAGTTATGATCTAGTTTTGCTACACTATTACAGGTTAATAATAAAAAAATACCCTCACATCAAACTTTCACAATTATTAGA